TGCAAATAACCACCATATAGTACACCAGTTAACTGCTGTTTTTAAAGACCAGCTGCCACAAAGAGATTCTCACTGCATTAAATATCTTCAGAAGCCGGCGCCGTGGCTCAATAGGCTAATCCTCCACCTTGCGGCGCCGGCACACCGGGTTCTAGTCCCGGTCGGGGCGCCGGATTCTGTCCCGGTTGCCCCTCTTCCAGGCCAGCTCTCTGCTATGGCCAGGGAGTGCAGTGGAGGATGGCCCAGGTGCTTGGGCCCTGCACCCCATGGGAGACCAGGAAAAGCACCTGGATCCTGGCTCCTGCCATCGGATCAGCGCGGTGCGCCGGCTGCAGCGGCGGCCATTGGAGGGTGAACCAACGGCAAAGGAAGACCTTTCTCTCTCTGTCTCTCTCTCTCACTGTCCACTCTGCCTGTCAAAAATTAAAAAAATAAATAAATAAATAAATAAATATCTTCAGTAACAACCCAGTTGAATGAAAACTTCTCCTCTTCTAATTTCTCATAGAACCTTTTCTACAACTTTCTTAAAGTCTTATTTTTATCATGCACTATAATTATTTTTAATTATCTCATTATCTCACTTTCTTTACACTTGCATTTGAAGATAGCACCTTGGTTTTATCAGTACATTTAGCATCAAAAGGAAATTTTGGGGACAAGTGTTGTGATTAAATTTCTGCCTGCAGTGCCACCATCCCATATAGATGCCACTTCATGTCCTGGCTGCTCCCCTTCTAATCCAGCACTCTGCTTGTGGCCTGGGAAAGCAGTGGAAGATGGCCTAAGACCTTGGGCCCCTGTGCCTACGTGGGAGACCCAGGAGAAGCTCCTGGCTCCTGGCTTTGGATTGGCCCAGCTCTGCATGCTAAGGCCATTTAGGAGAGTGGACCAGAAGATGGAAGACCTCTCTGTTTTTCCCTCTCTCTGTAACTCTAACTCTCAAATAAATAAACCTAAAAAAAGGAAATTTTTTGAGTTATTTACAAGATAACATGAATTAAAAAATTACTTGTGGGGCCAGCGTTATGGCATAGTGGGTACAGCTGCCACCTGTGGTGCTGGCACCCCCATATGGGCACCAGCTCAAGTCTGTCTGATCCACTTCCAATCCAGCTCTCTTCTATGCCTGGGAAAGCAGTAGAAGATGGTCTAAGCTCTTGGACCCCTGCACCCATATGGGAGACCTGGAAGAAGCTCCTGGCTTCAGATCGGCACAGCTCTGGTGTAGAGAGAACCAGTGGATGGAAGACCTCCCCACCTCTCCACCTCTCCTCTCTCTGTGTAACTCTGACTTTCAAATAAATAAATAAATCTCAAAAAAAAAAATGTGTATAGTAGTTCTCTTTTATCTGGAGGAATATGTTTCAAGATCCCAGTGGATAACTGAAGTCATGGGCAGTACTAAAGCCTATATTATGTTTTTTCTTATGTGTATGTACCTACCATAAAGTTTAATTTACAATATAGGCATGTAAGTGATTAACAACCATAACTAAGAATAACATAGAACAATTATGACAATATAAGGCAATAAAAGTTTATACTTTGGGGCCGGTGCCACGGCTCACTAGGCTAATCCTCTGCCGGCAGCGCCGGCACCCCAGGTTCTAGTCCTGGCTAGGGCGCCGGATTCTGTTTGGGTTGCTCCTCTTCCAGTCCAGCTCTCTGCTGTGGCCCGAGAAGGCAGGGGAGGGTGGCCCAAGTGCTTGGGCCCTGCACCCGCATGGGAGACCAGGAGGAAGCACCTGGCTCCTGGCTTCGGATCAGCCGCACAGCAGCCATTTGAGGGGTGAACCAATGGAAAAAGGAAGACCTTTCCCTCTCTCTCTCTAACTCTGCCTGTTAAAAAAAAAAGAAAGAAAAAAAAAAAAAGTTTATACTTTGGGACCACTATTAAATAAGGGTTATTTGAACACAAGCACTGAGATAATATAACAATCTGTTAATTCACATTGTTACCAAGTGACTAACTGGTAAAAAGATAACTGACATTGTGGGAGGGAACCAAGATTTCAACAGGCTACTCAGAATGGAATTTTCTACTTAATGTTTTTGTGTGCGGTTGACCAAAGATAAATGAAACTATAGAAGTAAAATTCTAAGTAAGTGGGTACTACTGTAGTTATACTATCTCAAAACAGATGTCCTTGTAAATTCTGAATATATGTTGACAAATTTGTAGATCTTAATTTCAGTATGGCACTTACTGCGGTTCCTTCAATACTGCAGGTATCCGAAAAGAAAATTAACTATTAACCAACAAGGTCTGGGAAAGCGTCTCTGCATATGTAAAAAACATACTTAATATGTTCAATATCCACTATAAGAGATTTGGAGTCCCAAAATAATAATATAGTAATTTTAGCAAATTGATGGTCCATTAATCAAAACAGCTCAAACTGGTGGTTTTTTTTGTTTGTTTGTTTGTTTGTTTGTTTTGGTGGTGGTTGAGGGGAGAAGGGCAGTCAACAGTTGCTGACAAATCTTAATCTGAATGCCTTATGCCTGGGCCAATATACTGATTTACTTCAGGTTCTACCATTCCCTATTCTTTTACACTTATCTAATTTATACATTCATGTCATCCATAGGTTTAAACAAGAGAATTCTTAATGGTGACAGTTAATTGCTCCCAATCAATTCGTTTTTCGAGTGCTTATACTGCTATGGGTTTAACTGTGTCTCCTTAAAATTTATGTGGAAGTTCTAGCCCCTAGTACCTCAGAAAGTAGTCATATTTGAGAAAGAAGGTCTTTAAGGTGGAAATTAAATTAAGATAAGATACTTAAGGTGGGTCCTAATCCAGTATGACTAAGTCCTTGCAAGAAGAGAGCATTTGCAGACAGATGTGCACACATACGTAGAAATGACCACGTGAAGAGACAGTCATCTACAAGTTAAGGAGAGAGGCTTCAGAAAGAAATCAATCCTGCCTACACCTTGATATTGGGCTTCTACTCTATAGAAGAATGAAAACAATTTTTATTGTTTAATCCTCCCCATCTGGTCCTTTGTTTGGTGGTGCTAGCAAACTAATAAAGCTACAAATTACACTCACTTAGGTACTTCTAACTACATCAAAACTTGTTTACCTTGCTCAAGACACTACCAGATACAGAAGTAAAAACAATTCTAAGTAGCTCAGACTCTAGAGGAGGCAAGTTATTAACATAAATAAGAAACATTATAAAGCATACAGCAAAAACACCAAATAAAGAATATATTTATAATTCTATAGGCAACCGAGAGAGGAAGTTTTGACTTTGGGTTAGATTATAAAAGATTCATAATTTGAGCTGAATCTTAAGAATAAACAGGATTCAACCAAATAGGAGAAGAAAATTACTAGGGTAAAGGGGAATACCTATTACTACAATGAAAATTTTTTTCCTTCTAAATATACTTCACTGAAGTTCAGTCTCCTGTTTCTGCTATCTACACTCTAAAATTATGTATTTTTAAATAGCCTAAGTACTAAATTTGGGTACTTTTTTCCCTGCCAGATAAATAACAGTTCAACTTACTTTGTTCAGTAAAATACTGACATCCAGAGGATACTTTGGTTCATTGCTAAGACCTCTGGCTCTTGCTAGGTTGGTTTTATTTTCACATGGTTTATGTAGGCATGAAAATGTTCCATGAATCAGCTCATGGAACATTTTCTTTTGAAAGCCTGGGTAGTTTTTGATCTCTTGCCTATTTATCAAATCTCATCACACTATAGGGCTCCACAACACAGGTGGCTTGTGCTTTCTTAAGTGCCTCTTCTTAAGAATATATTACTCAGTTCATCAATGTTTCATACCTAAGTATTCTAAGGTATTTAATTTTTTATTTAATGAAGTTTCAAACCTTTAGGCTGAGGAAGTTACTCAGACTATTTCATCTAAGCTGCTGGGAAAGTGCTCTGCAAAGCAGGGAGTTTTCAAGATGGAATTTTAAGAAAGGAGTTGGCAGGAGCCTAAACACAGAGAGACCTAAACTTTCATAGGTCGTTCCCTGCCTTAACTGTAGAGACTGAAATTTGTCATAAGTAGCTAAGTCTAAGTTTTGCTAAGGTTTTCTGCTTTATTTTGGTAACAAGAATTTCAAGAATTTAACAATGACTTTGTTAAAAGTTGTGATCTTAAAGCTGTGATTTTTTTTTTAAGGAATTTTATCTAGGGTTGATGTTGTGGCTCTGTGGGTTAACTTGGTCTTTGGAATGCCTATACCAGAATGCCTGGTCAGGTTTCCATCCAGCTTCCTGCTAATGGAGGCAGCAGATGACAGCTCAAGGGTTTGGGCCCCTAACACCCAGGTGGGAGACCTGAAGGGAGTTGCAGGCTCCAGGCTTTTGCCTGGCTGTTGAGGGCATTCAGGGTATGAACCAGTTGATGGAAGATCTTTTTTCTTTGTTCATCTCTCTCAAATCTTTAAACAGGAGAATTATGTCTGTAGAAAGCATTTTCTCCTCTTATTTCAACATTGTTTTCTTTCATAAATGAAATAACCTTAAGAGACCATCACTGTCAAGTGAGAGGCAAAAGGAGCTTTAACATTTGGCTTAAATTATTTTAGATGAAAACGATTCTCCTGAAGAAAGCTGGAGACTCAGCTGAATTAGTTTGATTCTTCTAATGGTTTGGTTCAAACCACAAGTGCATCTTACCATTTGCCTTCCGATTTTTTGGGCAACTAAGGCATTAAGTTAGAGAATCAATCAGAGTTACAAAAAATAAAAAGATGTCAGGCACTGGTCCGTTATCCAATTCAGGTGAAATTTTGGGGTCACAAAGAACCAGAATTGTGAATTTAATTGTAACTCAAAATGTAGCACAGACTACAGGCTGCAAAATGGGTTTAGTGCAATTTTTAAAAAACAGTGAGAAGTTACTGATTAAAGATCCAAAATTTCGACTTTTTTTTTAAAGCTATCAGCATGTGTGTGACAAACTGAATTCGGTGACGTTAACTTACTCTCGTAGAAAAAGCAGGCGGTAGTACCACACGCTTACCTTAGGCAACCAGCTTGCACTTTATAACTGCACAGGTAAATCGTTTGGTGAGACAGAAGGATAAAGGAAACGGAGCTGGTGCCCTTATCCTAGCACAGCACCAGCCCAAGTCCTCCCAGTCCACCTAGTCCTAGCAGGGCGGCTTTCCCGCCGAGTGTTGGCTACAGACCGGAAGTCACCTCAACCAGCGCCCCCGGAAGCCGTCGTCTTGGCAACACGGTATCCGCCCACCCTCTTGGCCTTAGCCACGCCCACTTTCTTGGTTGTCTAGGGACGGCCGGGCTTCGATTGGTCTATCTCCCCTTCACTCTGGGAGATGTTGAGAACGCTAGGCTCTGGAGACCGTATTCGAATCTGTGGCGCGCACAGTGTGCAAGGTGTAGCGTGCAGCCGGCGTCCTGCTGGAGCCAGCGGTCCTGAGGGTGAGCGACCGTGAGGGGAGCGCGACTGAAGGGCGGCCGGCGCTGGAGGGGCGCTGAGTCAAACAGGCGCCTCCAGTTGGCGGCCCTCAGTGCGCTGCGCGTCTTCGCTGAGGCGGAGGACGCCCTCCGGTTGCCTTCTCGCAGCCTCCCGTTTTCCCCCTCAGGACGTTGTCTTCGCGTCTCAGATACGTCACGGCTAGCTCGTTTCTGTCGCCCCAGAAGAAAGGCTCTCCCTAACGCTACCTTCTCTCTTCAGAAAGTGTTCAGCTCCCGTTTCTCCCTTCCAGAAGCAACGCTAGGGCCCCGACGTGCGTGCACGTCCCCCAAGTGCATTTTACTCCCCCGTGGTCTCTTCGATAGTTACGCCCCTCGTATTCGTCGCCGTTTTTATCAGAATGTGTGCGTGACAGGCAAAGCGTCTACCACACAACCTGGAGAACTTCCAGCTCCTCAGAAATGAGTCCAGAACGGTCCTCAGCTCGGAAGGGCGCTGCCGCCCTACTGGGGACGGCGTGGGGGAGGGGGAGAGAGGGTCGCGTGGACAGCAGCGAGGGAAAGCACTTTGTAAGGCGCTACAAAAAAATGTAAGTTATTGATGAGTTCCTGTCGAAAACAAAGATATTTCTTTGCTGGGGCCCTGTCGATGCATGCATTTCATATCGGGGTTAGGAATTTGTTCAGAGTGAAAAGAAAGCCAATAGGTCTGTTGGAGACCGACGCAAAGCTGTGAAAGCAGCTACTGATTGGCGTTGCCCTTCCCCTCTCTAGTACGTGCAGTGTCCAAGGATATTCGACCATTCCAGGAGCTTTGCAGACAGCTTTTCCTACGTCCCCTATCTGGGACTTTGAACATCCTCTTCTCTTCTACTTTAATGATTCAAAATGAGCTTTTGTTTTTACGGCCTCTAGAGTCGAAGTTAACTTTTCCCGTGTTTGAAGTCAGGGTTCCTCTTCAGAACCAGAAAAGAACATTGGTGCTCTTTTCCAGAATATAAAACACGCGATTTAAAAAAAAATCAGTTTCTGGGAGTTTACGCACTCCACATGTAAGTATAGATATTCCTATAACCCCAGTTAAGTTCTAGAAGCTTATTTCTGTTTTTAACAATTATTTATTTGAAAGTCTCAGAAACAGGTTCAGTCCCCAAATGATTGCAACAGGCTGGACTCCAGCTTTCACTCTGATAGGGGAGGCTGACGAGGCAAGTAGCCACTTAACCCACTTTGCCACAACACTGACCCCTATTTCTGCTTTTTAAAGAGCAGCAATGAGTAAGCAGAAAATCCAACGAAGGGTTTTACTTTTCCATATGTCTGTCGTTTAACTTCTGATTTGTTTGTCGAGACTTAGTTTTAGGGAGCTGAAGAATGAGTAAGCTGAAACATTCAGATAAGCACTGGTTTAAGAAAATTAGAGAAGTCGTGAAGTACTTGCTAGCTACAGAAAGGTCATTTAAAAATAAAAGTAAGAGTAGTAAAGGGTGTAGGGGCATGCACAAAAGAATTTGACAATGTGTTGTATCCATGATCTTTTTGAATTACCACAAAAAGTAGGAATATTCTTGATCAATATGAAGAGTAAAAATAATTTTTATAACTTAATTTTTCAGATATTAAAATTTTGTTAATTTCTACCAGCTTGTACTGAATATTATCTCCCCTATATTCTTCTGAAACATTTTTTTCATATGAGAGCTTTTGTTAACTTGAAATTTGTTCCTGTCTATGTTGTGAGGAATAGCTTAAATTACTTTTATTTTCATTGTTCTATTGCCACTTGGAAAATTATAACCTCTGAGCCAAGTCTGGCCTGCCACATGTTTTTGTAAATAAAATTAATGGAATACAGTCATCAGTTTTTAATTTATTGTCTTTGGCAGGTTTTGTGTAACATTGTCACGGTTGAGTGAGTAGCTGTGACAGAAAAAATATGCCCTTCTGAGCTTTAAATATTTACTGTCTACCCTTTTTTTATCGAGAAGTTTGCCAGCCCAGCATTAGGACATCCTTTCCCTGATAATTCATATTATAACTATACATATAATTTTAATTTGATACCTCTTCTTAGAATTTTCTTTTCTAACTTTTTAATTTGTCTCAGTTGTTAGTGGATATATAATACAGTATCTTCTTTAGAACACTTCTAAAATAAAGACTGAATATCCAGTAAACTGTTCCTCCTACTACTTTACCAAATTATTTTGCCTTAATTATTCATGGCCCTTTTAGCATTCATATAAATTTTATCATGAGCTTATTAAATACCATGAGAAATCTTTTTGGAGTTTGATAAAAATTGCATTGAATATACCAATTAATTTAGAAAAAAATTGTTATCTGTACAATTTTCATTCTTTCCATTCATGGACATAGTATATCCTGATGTTCTTTAGTTTTTTTTGTTTGTTTGTTTTGTTTGTTTTTGACAGGCAGAGTGGACAGTGAGAGAGAGAGACAGAGAGAAGGGTCTTCCTTTGCCGTTGGTTCACCCTCCAATGGCTGCCGCGGCTGGTGTGCTGCGGCTGGCGCACCACGCTGATCCAATAGCAGGAGCCAGGTCCTTATCCTGGTCTCCCATGGGGTGCAGGGCCCAAATACTTGGCCATCCTCCACTGCACTCCTGGGCCACAGCAGAGAGCTGGCCTGGAAGAGGGGCAACCGGGACAGAATCCGGCGCCCCGACCGGGACTAGAACCCGGTGTGCCGGCTCTGCTAGGTGGAGGATTAGCCTAGTGAGCCGCAGCGCTGGCCTCTTTAGTTTTTTAATATAATTTTGTAGCTATAACCATTAGTATTCATAAGGGAAATCTTTGGTTTTGGTTTGCTGTCATTGTCTAGTTTTAGAGTTAGGATAATGAAGGCTCACATCTTTAAATGATCTGAAATGTGTTATATTGTGTGTTATATTCTCTTTCTTGTAATAGTTTGTGTAGGATTGGTATTAGATCTGTTAAATGTTTGATAGAATACATCCATCTAGACTTGACATTTTCTTTGTGAAATTAATTTCTTGATAAATAAGAAAATGAGTAAATCCTATTTGCATACAGCTTTAGCATTTCTAGCACTCTGTTTCTTCTTTGTTTCTTATGTTTTTCTTCAATTTCAAGAGCAACATTTATCATTGTTTGAAGTACAGGCTTATTGGTGAAGGTTTTGGTCAATGTTTGCTTAAACAAAAAAGACTAAAATGTTTTTCCTTAACTTTAATTCTAGAAAGATTTATTTTCATACTGGAAATAAAATTCTAGGTTGACTCTTTTAACAAGCTTTATTTATTTGAAAAACATAGTGACAGAGAAAGTGGGAGAAACAGAGGGAGAGTGAGAGAGAGAGACAGAGAGAAAGGTCTTCCTTTGCCGTTGGTTCACCCTCCAATGGCCGCCGCGGCCGGCGCGCTGCGGCCGGCGCACCGCGCTGATCCGATGGCAGGAGCCAGGAGCCAGGTGCTTATCCTGGTCTCCCATGGGGTGCAGGGCCCAAGCACCTGGGCCATCCTCCACTGCACTCCCTGGCCACAGCAGAGGGCTGGCCTGGAAGAGGGGCAACCGGGACAGAATCCGGCGCCCCGACCGGGACTAGAACCCGGTGTGCCGGCGCCGCAAGGCGGAGGATTAGCCTAGTGAGCCGCGGCGCCAGCATTAACAAGCTTTATTTATTTGAAAAACATAGTGACAGAGAAAGTGGGAGAAACAGAGGGAGAGGGAGAGGGAGGGAGAGAGAAATAGATCTTCCACTATCCATTTCATTCCTCAAATATCCACAACAGCGTGTGGACTAGAATTCCATCCTGATTTCCCACATAGGTGGTGGGGACCCAGGTACTACTGCTTTCCCACATGTATTAGCAGGAAGCTGGATTGGAAGTGAAGTAGCCAGGACTTGAACTCCAACATGGGATGTGAGCATCCCAAGTGGTTACTTAATCACTGTGACCAAGTTTAAGTATTTTTTTTAACGTTTTTATTATTCTGTTGTCTTGTAGCTTTTTCTATTTTTTTTTTTTTAATCTGAGGGCTGGTACAGGAAGGTATGGTTTGCTTCTTTGCCTCTTTTTTTTTTTTTTTTTTTTGAAAGGTAGAGTTAGAGGGGCCAGCACAGTGGCACAGTGGGTTAACACCCTGGCCTGCAGCGCCGGCATCCCATATGGGTGCTTGTTCGAGACTCAGCTGCTCCACTTCCGATCCCACTCTCTGCTGTGGCCTGGGAAGGCAGTGGAAGATGGCCCAAGTCCTTGGGCCCCTGCACCCATGTGGAAGACCTGAAAGAAGATCCTGCCTTTGGATTGACGCAGCTCTGACTGTTGTGTCCAATTGGGGAGTGAACCATTGGATAGAAGACCTTTCTCTCTCTCTGTCTCTTCTCTCTTTGTGTAACTCTGACTTATAAATAAATAAATCTTTTTTTTTAAAGGTAGAATTAGATAGAGATATCTTCTGTCCTCTGGCTCACTCCCCAAATGGCCTTAATGGCCAAGACAATCCAAAGCCAGGATCTTCCTCAGGGTCTCCCACATAGGGACAGGTTCCCAAGAACCTGGACCATCCTCTGCTGATCTCCCAGGCACATTAGATCAGAAGTGGAGCAATCAGGACTCAAACCAGCATCCATATGTGATGCTAGAGCCTCAGGCTTTAGCTTCACCTGCTATACCACAGTGCTGGCCTCAGCTTGTGGTTTTTAGTTATTTGTTTTTGTTTTTAGTTAGATATTTGGAATCATTGTCATTTTGTTCTTCAGTAT